AGAACAAGAGAGATGTTTTTGCGCCTGCATTCGGGTGCATCCGCTGCGGTCACGTCGTCGTAGTAATCGAGCAGTTTTTAGTCGGATTTAATATTGAATGATTATTCCCCGAGTTTCCAACGTTTCCAGCACCGGATTGCAGGGTTGAAATACGATCCTTGGAAAAAAAGTATTCGAACGCCTTTTAAGACGTAATAACTGTTTCAAAACTGGGCTAATTGACTAACTTCCTTCTAATTTTACTATTAATTTGAATGATAAAAAAGAAACTAAAACATTCGAGTTTTATAACTTTTTCATCGGAGCCTGGAGCGAAAATTTGAAAACTGCGTTTTGTAGATCTGGGCAATGTAAATTGAAAAGAGAGAGAATTGAAAGAGAGTTGAAAATTTCATCGAGATCGGTTGACGCGTAGTCAAGCTGCAGTCACTGAAAGATGTAAAAATGTTTGAAATCCATAAAAAAAACTGATCTCGATAAAAATTTCAATATGCATATAAATTACTCAGATTTACAAAACGCATTTTTTTCATTTTTGTTCCAGGCTCACATAAAAGAAAAGTTAAAAATCAGAGTTTCTGTTTCCTATGTTATTCTTAATAATAGCAAAATTAAGAGAATGCTTTCGTCATTGTACAATAATCTAGTCCCTTTAACATTAAAAAAAAATTGAAATCATTTAATGCAGTTTGAAAAAAGTTATTGCGTTTTCAAAGGAGTTCAAACACTTTTTGCCAGGCGATAGTAGTTTTAAATCTTTGTACTCGAATGTCCCCTCAGAAAGGACAACAGAACTGCTTATAATTATAGTGCTTCCAAAATTAACAATTTTTCTTTCGTAAAATCTGTATCAATAGAATGCCGTATCAAATTTTATTTGCATAATCTAATTATTTCCAACGCTCTATCCTTTAATATTTTCTTCAAAGCGTTTCTTACGACTTCCGAGAAAAAGGTGATTCGAGAGAAAATTGTCTGAGCACAAAGCTTTAAAATGTGATTCGAATTACATAAAACATTATTTACGCTGTCGATAAATGGAAACGGTTCCACGTTGATGGAGTAAGGAGTTTCCTCGGGAAGACAGGATTATGTAGAGAGAAGGAAATAAAATTTGTTGTATAAATGTTTGCAAATACGAGTAACGACTATAACTATCCAGTATCTGTTTTGCATAATCGAATACAGCTGACATAAATTTTTTTCGAGAGGAACTTCTAACAAAAATATTTCCCCTACGCGAACAAATAATCAGTAATGATTAGACTGCGGATCTTTATACAAAATAAAAATTATCTGAATTAATTACAAGAAATACAAATTAGACGATAATATCTTTTCTCTTTTAACAATCGTAATAAGTTGAGCATAAAGTAACAATACCCCCAAATTCTTCCAATGTCTTCTTAGTTTTGTATTTGATGTATATATATCTTTATCATAAATGCATAAAATCCGCAGCCAATTAATGACAAATTCGATGCGATTTATTATCAATATCTCTTATCGGCCCATGTAATCGATTTAATAAAACGCGATTGCCGGATAAAAATGAGATTTTTATCAAATTATTTTAAAAACGTGGTTTTTCAGCATTTCGAAAAGAGCACAACATTTCGACCTTAAAATTCCCTGCACCAGCAAAACTCATCCTAGAAAGTGCAAGTCACACTTGCCATTTTTTTGCTGCAGCTTACGTTCATGTAATTTTCGAAAAGCTTAAAATAGTGTTGACCTAGGTACAGTTTTAAAAAAAAGAGAGATCTGCCTATGTAATTTTGTCAGTCCCGTTTTTGCCTAGGTTGCGATCGTGTTCATCTGATGATTAAGCGTTGCCTGAAATTAGTGTGCTCAGTATTCTGCACGTCAGCTCGCATTTTATACGCAATGTGCGTGGGTGGCTGACTATATAGTATATGCGTCCATATCTGACACTGGCGTATTGTTATCCTCGGGCATGGAATTTACAGGGTCAAATGTAACTCGAAATGAACGAATGTCTTAGCAAACATTAATTAAACTATTCTGGTTAAACTATTAAATAATTAAACTATTTTTATTCAATCAACCGAGTTGTTATTGAACCAGTTCTAATCGTTAGTCAACTTAAGAGAAAGTTTTGCAGTTCTGATGATGATGATGATGATCATAGACTGCGAGCGTTTATGGCGTTTTGATTTTTCATGAATTAACGTGCAACAACTGTGAATTACTTATTTATTACTTATGGATTACAACCCCTTCTAATTTTTTTCAGGTTCTGCAGATTGTTCTGTTGTTACTCAATAATTATACAAACACTGTTTCCTACTATTAATAGCAATAATAATAATTATAATAATAATAAAGAATAATTTAACTAATTATTTCATATATTGAAATAATTTGAGCTTACTTGAAGTATTGAATAGTCGGTGAACTAATTGATATGTTAAACAAGGAAGAAATTGCATATAATTTCATGTTTTGCAAGTTGAAACCTGAATGAATCGTAAAAATATGGACTGCAATGACCATGAAACATTTAGAAAAGATGTCTGTGACAGATCTAAAAATTAATGAATGAAAGGAAACTTAATCACATCTAAATAAAAAATATACATCAAAATTTTATCGCAGTACACGTGCACATTATTTTCTGCAAGGCATTACTATAATACTTTACTGAAGTCATCGTCATCAGCAGTCACAAAATTTATTGAACAATATATAAGTAAATCACAGTCCTTTTATTTTACAACATAAAGCGAATGTGCAGTGATTCACACATTTGTTCAAAAATCACTACTGTCCTTATTTTCGACGTATTCAATTTTCTCTCTACAAACAGAAGTACGACTTTAATCCTTCAAATAAAAAAAAAGTTGTTAACCTTGGAAATATAATAATTAGACTGTGGATTTTTATGCAAAATAAAAATTGTCTATGTATTAATTAGAAGATATAGAAGCTACATAGATGTTTATTTCCTTCCTTAACAATTTTGACAAGTTGGAGATAATACAACAAAATTTTTCAATTGTGTTTTAATTATGTTTTCAATGGTTGTAATTTCATCTAATCATTTCTTTCGTAAATGCATAATATCCGTAGTCCAATCATAATTGTCAGTAATTTTGTTACGTCTCCAAAAAGGGAACACCCGAGTTCAAAGGGTTAACTTTAATCGCGAAGTGTGAACAATTGAACGAGTCGTCGATGGCACACGATAAGAGCTAAGCTACAGAACCGGAACTAATCTCGTCAAATGAAGTAATCCATCGCATCGAGATGCAAGGGCTTCCGTCAGGTATTCCGGGAATCCGAATTTCGGAAGCACGTTTACGGAGACTTTCATGAATTTCGAGCTGCAGAATATTTCCAATAATTTCCTGCCAGCGTTCAGGAGACGTTACGGCCGCGTACCACATAGCAAATGTTCCCTCGTAATTCTTTCCTCGGTCCCGCCCGATCGAGCAGTTCCGAACGCATCGGCGGGTCTCCGAGAGCCGCGTGGGTGAATTAAACACTGGCTTTCCCCGAGAATCCTTTCTCACGCCCACGCCGCCAGCGTACCGCACGGAAGAAGAACGAAGATTGTCCGCAGTGGCGAAGCCCCAATTAATCAAACGTTTCGCGGAACGGAATAAGAGGGAGACGACGGTCGCTAGCTAGTCCGGCGACCGCGTCAATTAAAATTCACCGCAATCGGAAATTAATTGTTCCCCGGAGGAATCGCCTCGTTCCTCCACGATTTGTTGACAAACGGTTCCCGCCGAGTGTACAGAGAGGAGATAACCCCGGGGGGAGAGCCGATTCGCTGATCGGCGATATTTCTCGAAAATATTCCATGCCGCAAATTGCAGATACTTGAGCCACACTGATACGAACTTTACGAACCGAGAGAGGGAGAGACAGAGAACGAGAGAAAGAGAGAGAGAGAGAGAGACAGAGGTGTTAACGAAACGCCGCACGCGTCGAGAACGTCGCCGGTGACGTCGGGGACAACACGTTATCTCGCGAAGCAACACCTTATTCCCGGATCGTCCCGAAATCCTCTTTGAGCTGCGGCGCTACGGATCACAGACGCGAGGCGTTCCGTTTGATCCTCGGAGCTTCATCGAATTTGTACGGATTCGCGAGTGACAGGTTCCAGTTTTCAGGGGAACAGAGAAATTCTTTCCGCGGCCGAAAGACTCTTAATCACCGGCGATAACGGTTCAAACGCGCCCCGAGTCCGATTGGAACGGCGAGTCCTCTCGGCGTGAATCACCGGGATCCTAATATTAAAATCGATCAGTGAAATACGGCTTGCTCCGGGATCGACGGCGAAGTCGCAGCTCGTAAATATTTTGGAAATTTCATTCGGGCCGGGACACGACTGGGGACGAGCGACATAAATCAGATTCCAGTTTCGACTCCGCTATCTGTTATCGGATGAAATTGGCTGACCCGAATCGTCCGCGGTCAGACGTTAAAAATTCTTCTGATGGACGGAGGGCTGGATTCATCGGTCTCCGTTCGGTTTTTGTCGCGGTCTCGAGGTGTCAAAGTTGACCCCGGCGCGGCACAAAACGATTCTCGCACCGTAAATCCCCGCGGTGCGGAGCAATGTATACACAGAGACCCGTCTTATGCGTTTGAAACGTGTCGAGCTCGGGGACGAAAAAATAGGCGCGAATGTAAAGACACACAGAATGAGAGATGTATAGCGACAAACAGAGAGATGGAAATATGTGTATATATATATATAGAGAGAGAGAAATATGAAAAGAGAGAGAGAGAAGAAGACGAAGAAAAAGAAGAAACAAAACCGAGAGACAACAAAGAAAAAAAAACCGATTACATAGGGAAACAAAAAAGGTTATCGGTTGACCGTTCGCGTCGCGACATAAAGCGATCGTCCCTAGGACGAGAGCCTAGCACGAGAGTCACGAGTGACCCGACAGACGCGAAAACCGCGGCTACCGGACACGTACGGAGTAAATAGAGTGGTCTCGTGGGTAACGTGGGCAACTCACCGAACGTAGCCAGGGCTATAACAGTCATCAAAGTCCAACGTCTCATGTTTGCTCGATTGAGGAATCGGAGCAGTTTGCTCCTTCCACGATCACCACCACCTCCGCCACCACCGGCTTCTCCGCCTCCTCCACCTCCTCGCCGTTCGGTTGTCCTCGCACGTGGCTGCAGAGACGCGTCGAACAGAAGCAGAGCGGAACCACTCGACTGCAGACGTAGTAGGCACTGAGATGGATTTCTTCCGAGGACTACGCGAAACTGACCGACGATCGAGCAGCTCTCGCAGCGTTCTCAGGGTCCTCCCAAGCATACGTGCCTGGTGCACGCCAATGGCATCGTGTTTGCTCTATCAGGGGCACGTGACAGCCTCCGCGGACCTGCAGCGTGTCCCTGCGCGTACACCTCGCACGCACTAAACTCCACGGACGTTCCGGCTTCGTGCACCAGCATCTTTGTGCATCGAGGACATATCTCTCTTCTCGTCTGTTTCTCTCGCTTTACCTAAACCGTTCCGCTCGATCCGTCCCACCGACGACGAGAGAGGCTCGTCAGCGAGAGCGAGAGTCGGATATGGAGAGAGACAGGCTCCACGGTTTCCCCCGTTCCCGGTCTGGTCAGAGTCGACACTGCGGGTATCGAGAGTCGCGAGTGCACCGACGATGCACGGGGAGAGTACTTTCTCTCTTACTTTCTCTTTCTCTCTCTCTCTCACTCTCTCTCTCTCTCTCTCTTGCTCTCTTTCTCTCTGTGTACGCGCGTGTGTATGTGTGTGTGTACGTGTGTCTGCACGGCTCAGTTACGCGTCTCGCCGAGACAGCTCATTCGACCGACGACGAATCCTCTGATCGGCTCCTCCGCGACGTCCGAACCCCGCCGCCAATCTCAGAGCGCGTCTGACCGTCAGCACCGTGACGCTACCCCGGCTAACATCCTCCTGATCTAGCCAGAGATCGATGCTAATCACGGACGTGCCACCGTTCAACAATGTCCTCGACGGTCCCGTATCCGGTCACAGGATTGTCAGATGCGCCCTGGCCGGCGACCAACGCTGGACTGATTTTCATTTGGCTGCAACGCCGCGCGGTACTGCCGCCTCGGCTCTCTTTGGCGCTAGCGCCCTGTGTGGCCTACCGCCACTGATGCCTCTCCTCTCTGTTCCACCCCCGCGGTCGTTCTCGCTCCGGTATGTCTGTCCTGGTCCGACCAATCCGGCCCTCTCCTTTCTTTTCCCTTTCGCTCGTCGACGGTCTCGCTCCGATCTGTGCAGCCCACATCCGCGCATCGTCGGGTGGCATGGTATACCATGCGGTACAACCCCCTTCCGCCGTTCTCGTCGAGTTTCCCTCCTCATCCCGCTGCTATAGTGCATGCCAACATCGCCGGAGAAGAGAGAATCGTTACTATGGCGAGATCAATATGATAGGACGGCGCATGCCTCGGTATCCTTATACTTAAACCCTTCGCCGCTACACGGGCCTGTCTCTCTCGCGACTGCTGCGCCAGCCCAGTTCGCCGTCCTCCTCCTCCCTCGTCGGCCCCCTCCTCTGGCTAACCCCTTCGCTGGCTACCCCTCGCGTTTCCTCTCTGTCCCTCACGTGACGCACGCCGGAGCGAACCTAGTGTGCCAGACACCGTAGGTGAGCGCGGCGTTGACTTAAGTCGCTTCAGTCAACACAGAACCGTATGCGGGAGGATACCGTCTTCCCTCTGAGTCCTCTTAACGCCCCGATGCTCCGATTCTTCTTTGTGTCTATCTCCGTTCCGAACTTTCGTTTCGAATCCTTTCTTCGTACTCGAGCCACGGCGAAGCGTGTCGCGGAGGCCCAACAGTTTCTCGCTTCTCTCGCCGGTGCATCGACGGCAGAGTCTGCCAGATCCAGAAATTATTCTCTAGAAGACTGGCCTCTATCGTGCCCGCCGATTGATCCCGATCAACGATGCTCGCGATCGGCTTCCCTGCCACGCTCCGCTCTGCTCCGCTCCGCTCTGCTCCGCTTTGCTTCGCCTCGCTCTGCATCGCTTCGCTCTGCTTACGATCAGCTACGATCAGCTAGACTCGCCGAGCCGAGCCGCGCGGCGTTCGTGCCCTCGCTTTGTTTCCCACCGATATCGCTGAATCAAAGCTCCGAATCGATGGGCCGGATTGATACGCGATTTCGACACTGGCCGCTGATCGGCCGCGATCGTATATCGGACACGCTCTTTTGATACCGCTCCGCGCCGTTTATTTTAAAACCGTGCGCGGGACCGGCCATGCCGATGCGGCCTCGCCGACTTGATGGAACTTCAACAGTGATATACACGTTTTTTGGGGGTAACGTCTGGCACGGCCGTTTCAGACTCCGGTATTCCCGGAGTGCACGCGATTTTATTGTTCACGATAAGGACACCGGCGAAACTACCGACGCCTCCGATCCTCGCCATTGACGATCGTGTCACAGTATTCTTATTGTTGTGGTCGCGTGCTCGGGACACCCTCGTATTAGAACGTTTTGCACGCTGGACAAGGAATCGTAATACGTTTTTAGTAGTAGCGTAGGACGCGAGATTATGGACTGCGGATCTTTTTGCAAAACGAACACTTTCTTCGTGGACTGTAAGAAATTGGTGAAGAAATATAGAAATTTCTGGCTTTCTTTAACACTAGATTTACGGAACCCGACAAAATGATTTATAAAATTTGTTTACGTTTATTCAAATTGTAAAGACACATTTATGAGTTCTTTATTCAATATATTTGTTAATTGCGGCAGATATTATAATAACACTAGTTAAAAGTCGGAATAAACGTCCTATTGTTACTTTTATAAATTAATATACTTGCTTTTATGCTCCATAAATCTAGTGTTAATAATCGTAGCGAGCTAAGAGTAATATATTAATATTCTTAAAGTCTTTTGATCGTGATAAACGAAGTTCATTATGATGACAATACTAATAACCATTGGAATATATTTTATAAATTCTAATTTGTTCTGGTTCCATTCCAAATTTCAAATTTCATATTTTTGCATTACTGGTTTACTTACAAGGCCACATAAACACGCGAAATGAAACACGTTGCTCGAATTTGTCTACTTTTAATTAACCAATTTACGTAAATTTATTAGCCGTACTAATTCGAACGATTATTCGATCGTGTAAAAAGAAACATTTTTTCTACACAACGTGTACATTTCAACGATACACACGATGTGACGTTTCCAGAGATCTGAAAGTCATTGTTATGACAACGCGTCGAAAGAATTTCTTATGAATTCATGCATTTCTCTCTGTGTTTTTTAAATCCATAGAAATAAAAGTAAAATTCCATCGGTCTGTTCGCTTCTCTACGAGTTGTCGGGTTTGTTACGTGTTTCGAGAAATTTGATTACGACCGTGAGCAAAAACTGAAATTTTGTCTGCTCGTCCGTTTGTTTCAACATCGTGCAAAAACGAGTGAAAGGAATTCCGTGGAACGTATTATACACGCGGGCAAGTAACCGGATGGAAAGTTAAATTAGTTGCAAAACTGCGCAAAAGGTCAGATACGATTGACTTTAGGAGAAAAGTGTACATAATGTGCCGACGAGCGAAACGGATTTTAAAATGATTAATTAACGGCGAGCCAGTTCGTGGAGATATAATTTTGAATAGAAAACGATTCCTCAGATATGTACATATGTACTTTTTAGAAGTCTCGCTACTTTCACCTTTAAAAAAATTTGTTAAAGTCACATTATTTACAGCTTGAAGAATAAATTACCTACATAAATAGCGATGATTTAAATTGATGCTACTAAAAATTATTTGTGTAAATTCATAGCTTACTACCCACTTTTAAATTGCGACATTATCACGAAAGAATTACAAGTTAATAATTATTCCAATTCTGGATAACGTATTTAGTTCAGGATAAAAATTATTAAATATAGCTATCGCTAAATAATATAGTATTTAAAAGTCAGGTATATTAATAACATGTCTAACTCTGTTAATATTGTTGGAAGAAATAACTCCAAAATATTTTTAAAAATGATTAAAAACCTGGAATGAGTAATTGTGAAGAAAACATGCAACAATAAAAATTAGCCTACGTCGCAAAAATCTTCTTCACCACCTACGTCTACCTAGAATATGCAGGAACAGTGAAACACTTTCAAGCTGGTTGCGCAGTGGCATGATTTTCGTCTTTTTGTCTTCTTCCTTCGCTGGGTTTGCAAAGACGCACTCAAAAATAAATCATGACACCAGGGATTGCCGCATCCGTGCGGCAAATTGCGGCATCTTTATTATAAATTTTTAATGCTTGCGAACTCTGCAATTTAGTTCGGTACCTAGCTAACGTTCCTCCGCCTAACTTTAACTGTATTTCATTTTCTCTATGTCAGAAAGCTCCGCGCCATTTTACCCTTGGCGACGCTTAAACCAAATAACGATAAACTTCACGAAAACCATCCGACAAATTTCATTTAAACATCGTTTTCAATTAATTCAGACTATAACGATGATAGAGGGTTGAACCTTGTCTGTGGTCCCGGTACATTTCCGCGACGGAACTGCCCCAAGAAGTTAGTTTGATTTCAACCAAAGTTAATCTATTTTGTACAGTACTGTTTTGCATTTACGTTTAGTCATTTCTGTCATAAAAATGTGTAAAATCCGCAGTTCAGTATTTATTTTTAATGGTGTTTACATTATCAAGTCGTTCGTGAATTCCAATTGGAAAAGGATTTTTAGCTATTTTATTTAACAATCGAAATACACACACACACACACACACACACGTTTCCTTGCTTTGAAAGTATAATTGTCGCAAGTAAACTTCGAATTTTTTACATTTATAAGAAAATAGAATGGACAATATTTACATTACGGGAATTAAAAGCATTTAAGAATACATTATTTTCAGTGTACAACAATTACTGAAAAGATACAAAATTCTCTGTTTCATTTCCATTTCTTACAATTAATGCAGACGATTTTGCAATCTTCTTTCATCTTTTTATTAAAATTTAAGAACAAATAACCTTAATTAACTTCGCGATTCAGTGACGAAATTTTCTGTACAATATTGAAAGTTCCAAAATTTATAGATGCCATGAAGGTAAATAATTATCATAAAATGGATCGTTCTAACCATTTGAAGTAGCATAAGAATATTTTAAACAAATCCATTGAATATAGTTACACGTTCGAAAACGTTCTAGATTTCCGTACCGCGTCCGTTGTTCCCAGCGAGTCTTCTCTGAGCGCAGTCACTCCCGACAACCCCTCGATTCCATCATTTCTTTTTTTCATTACATTACACCATTCGTTACCCGCGAACCAGCATACTTGTTTCCATTGTTCCTGGTAGCGATGCGCTCACGAGTTCGCCCCGAAAGAATCAATGATTCCAGAATCGCTTTGCAGTGAACAGCTCGGGAGTGGCGTGCTTAACACTTGCCGATACTCCTTAACGCTACGTTGCTCAATCTCCCTTTTATTCTCTCCCTCATGTCGATGTCTTCTACATCATTCTACGGTCCGTACACGAGCACGGGCGCGCCAGCCTGTCTATGTCCGTGTAACCGTAGACGTGGGCGTGTTTCTCGGAGAGAAAAGAGAAACGCCGTTCAATGAACGTAGTTACGTGAGAAATCGAGCATCAATTGGCTCTGAGGCAATGTTCTACAGAACCCACGGCGACTCGAGACTTCAACTGCCAACCAAAACCAGGGCCGTCTTATCCAATAGACGTGTCGGGCACGGCGTGTCTAGGGCCTATAAAAATTTACAGCCTATGGAAAATTTCGAACCTGCCGTGCTGCTTTATGGTCTATGAAGAAGTCGCTGGATAGTGTATCGAGGACGACGAAAATTCCTAGGTCTATAAAATTGGATTACACGGAAAAATTATTATAACGAACGTGAAAGTAGTAAAAAATAGCGACCTAGGAATACTATTATATCATTTTATTAAAGTTAGAGATTTATAAATATGTTCTTAAAATGGTAAAGCTAAATTTCTAAAATTGTTGAACTTTAAACAATTTTATAGTCCACGAAAGATGATAAACTATCGACAAAATCGATACTTGATGTACAAAATATTGCT